GTTCTTGAACACTAATTTTTTCTTAACATTACCTACCCCTGATGTTTCCCTGCACCTTTCTGGGTGGGCAGAAGTTTGCTCTGTGGGGTACAAACTTGCTCATACCAAAGGATGGCTTAGGATGTTCCTTTCATTTGAACCCCTGTCCCGAGTCACTGTAAGCTCTGCTTTGTTGTGCTGAAGTGGGCAAGCAGAAAGGATTCCTGACTAAAGCCATCCAGGACATGAGGCCTGGGCAGGTGCAGAGGTGTTCCCTGCAGAGGATTGCAGGAAATTTTGGGCTGTGGATCTCTGCTAATTTTGCACATTTTTCCTGCAGTGCTGTGCCGCCTTTTTGTGCCGACTTCCAGCTGAAAAATAAATGGTTATAAAATGGTGTGTGGAGAGCAGGCCACGGCTTTGAGGCTGTTACTGGTCCACAAACCACAGCTTGGCTGCTCTACAGTGTTCCCAATTGTGCTGGGGTTGCCCTTAGCAGTGAATACTTGGTTTATTCTTTATACTCTTTTCAGCCTGTGGCTTGTTTCTTGCCAGTCAGGGCAGTGCTGTTCATCCTCCTTCCCTCACCAGCCAGGAAAGGGAATTCTTCCTCTCAGAGAAGAGCTTTTTCCTCCCTTTCCTCTTAATTCCAGGCACATTCACTTGAAATTCCCAAGGCAGGATATTGAAAATTTCCTTGAGTTAATAGGGTTCACAAATTTACTAACTATAGAAAACGTAAAATGTTGATAAATTTTTGGCCAGAAAATTCTATAAAATCCCTGTATTTTAATGATATGGCCAAAGGAACAAATTCTCAATGCTGAAATGGTTTCCTGTGGGTTCCTTCTCCCTCTGGTTTTCCTATGGATGCACATCAGTGCTGTGATGTGGCTGTGTGGGTTGTTGGCTGCTGTGTTTGAAAATATCTGTGTATATATAGAGAGCCTGGAAAACAGAAGCTTTGGGGTGACCTGATTGAGGCCTTCCAGTACCTGAAGGGAGCCAAGGAGAAAGATGGAGAGAGACTATTTACAAGGGCCTGGAGGGACAGGACAAGGGGAATGGCTTCAAACTGCCAGAGGGCAGAGTTAGATGGAATATTGGGAAGGAATCCTTCCCTGGAGGGTGGGCAGGCCCTGGCACAGGTTGCCCAGAGATGCTGTGGCTGCCCCATCCTTGAAAGTGTCCAAGGCCAGGTTGGATGGGGCTTGGAGCAACCTGGACTGGTGGAAGGTGTCCCTGCCCATGGCAGGGGCTTGGGACAAGATCTCTGAGGTCCCTTCCCACCCAAACCATTCTGTGATTCCATGGTAATTTATTTGAAGTTATAAACAATCTGTGTGTGTGTCAGAGCCAAGCCCTCACGTCCCAGCAGCCAGTTGTAATTCAGATTAATTTCTCCCACCATTCCCCACATCCCTGTCTCTGCTGGAACCACGGCCCAGGGCGTGTCCTGAGCACGGTCATTCCCACAGACACCCTGGGGCTGCAGCCCAGGTTTGAGACAGTGCAGGTGGCACAGCCCATGTTCCAGAGCTGGAAGGAGCATCCCCACAGTGCTGACCTGGGCAGGATGGCTTGGCAAGGGTGAATGCCAAGGGCAGGTGCCCAGGCACTGGTTGAAACACTGAAGTGCTCGTTTAGCTTTGTCTTACTGACATCACTGGTGTTGTACTGAGCTCTTACTAGAAAATAACATGATAATGAAGACCAAGCTATTGGAAAAAGTGCTATTACCTGCCTACTGACTTCTGTGCAATTACTGGGCATTCTCTTCTCTTTCCAACTCGGAGCAGAAGTGTAAAAACCTCTTTAAAATCAAGATTCTCAGAGATGCAGCAGGGGCTGGTTCCACTCTGTCATCTTCTTTGCCATCAGGGTTTGCTGAATGCATCAGGCCGTGCCTATTGAAGTTTTGGTGGGTTTTTTTTCCCTGAAATGACAGTTTATCTGAGCTCAGGGAATGAATGGATAACGTTACTATTTACATAAGCTCATTGTGATCTGTCTCGGTAATGTAATCAAATTAGGGTTAACTGCAGCTGCAGAATGCCAGCTTGTAAACTGTTTTTCAAAAAGAATCACATGGTGTTACTTGACATGTTTAGTATACATTCAGGGGGCTTTGCAAAAATTATAGCACATCCCTAACTGATGTAAGTGAGTCAGGACTCTGTTGCCACCAGTTCCCTGAACCCAGGAAGGGGAAGGAGGTGAAATCCATCGCCAGGGCAGATCCACCTCCAGCCCAGTCCCACAGCACAGGCTTCTCTGACGTGGCTGCTGCTGACATGTTGTCTTTCCTTTGGCTAAAATCAACATATCAGTTGATAGAAAAAGCATATGGTGTAAATTCTGAGTACATTTAGGAACATCTGTGTTAAGTGCAGAAGTGCAGCCCACAGGACACGGCCAGCACTATATTTAGTCTCACGGCATTCGCACAAGATGAAGTCCAGCCTGAGCTAAAATTACCCAAGAGTAGATTTTCAAAGTATCTTTTGTTATTCTTATTAATAAACATCACATCTGGTACTTGCTTTCCCTCGTTCTCCCTTTCCCCTGTCATGAGGAGGTGCCATGTCCATCCCAGCATTGCATCATCCACGGAGAGGGATCTGCTGGGGTGTGCCAGGGTACCTGGTGAGACTCCTGAGCTGCTGCCCGACCAGACAGGTGCTGTCAGGCACTGTTTACTCCACACTGGGAAGGCAGAAGAAGAATTCTGAGGTCTCCTCCACCACCCAGGAAGGTTTCTGGAGGCTCGGTCCGAGCCCTGGCAGCTGTTGGGCAGCAGCAGGTTTGGGGTTGTGGCCTCTGCCCCTACAGACACACAGACACCCCAGCAACACCAACACCACCTCAGTGTCAAACTGCCAACCTGCTCTGCTGGCTGGGGAAATGGGACATTCAGGACATTCAGGCTGTGGGCCATGTCCCAGCCAGGGCAGATGGTCTGGGGCAGAGCTCAGTCCCACACTGCTGCATGTTGGACACCTTTTTTTAAATCAGGTGTAAAGAAAGGACAGAAAATATAATCTAAACTCAGTTCTTAGTCTCCCACTACTGCTAAAGTACTTTCTCACACACGGAATCATGGAATCCTTAAGGCTGGAAAAGGCCTTTAATACCCAGTCCAGCACAACTACTGTGTTCACCATTAAATGTCCATGTTCTGAGGGTCTGAGTGTGTTCCATTGAAGCTGAAATTCTTCATGAAATCAGGGTTCGTTTCCCCAGAAGTTCTGTAATAGAGGAAAAATAAAACATCATTCACCCTGTCAAAAATCAGCCACTTTCCAATATTCTGAATGAGCAGTGAGATCAGCACCACTGAGGGTTTTCTGCAGAAGTACCATTTTTGAATAGGTATGAAATAATTTTTACAGAAATTGTGTTCTCTTAGAATTTTGAAATTTGGGATCTGCTATGAATTGAAAGGAAAGAAAGAAAATAAATACACTTAGAGGACCAGAACTTGCCCCTTGAGCGCAGCTCTGTCCAAACCAACAAAAGGAAGCTTGTGTTGGCATCCAGATCCCGACTCAGGAATTCCTGACTCTTAAGCCTGTTTATACAGGACTCCACCACAGCCCAATTTGCACTTCATTTGAGTTTTCTTTCCCCTCAACGTTTATGGTCACGTTGAACGGGTGGATTAAACATCTGAACGCACAGATGTAACCAATTGTTATTTAAAGGGGTTTAGCAGATAATAATTGCAGTTAAGTGTCTTCATTTGGAGGCAGCAGTGTCCCACCGAGGCTTTCCAGTCATTTAGCATTTGTATTTCAGCTGTGGAAGCTTTGTGCCCTAATTCTCCCCAGGTTTTGGGGTTGCGGGTTCCTGGTGAGAGCCGGGAGCGCTCTCGGGAGCATCAGCATTCCCTGGTTCCCTGGCAGGGAGGTGACACTCCCGGCTGGGCAGCACGGATATGTCACTCCAGTAGTGCCCAGCCAGTTGGCAGGGTGTGGATGTGCACAGGGACAGGAACACACGAGGATTTATGGCTCTGGGATTCACCTCTGGATCCTGTTTGCTCTCAGCTACTTTTGAACCCGCAGTTCAGCATCTGTCAGGGCTGGTGTAAAACACAGAATGGTTTAGGGTTCTTCCCTTCCTTTTCCCCTTCCCTTCCCCTTTCCTTGCTCCTTCCCCTTTCCTGGTTCTGTTTAGCCTCAGCTGTCCCAGTGAGCCCCGGGAGCCGCTCAAATGCTCTGCTGCTCGATCAGGTCCCTTCCCAGTGTGTTTACCCTGCTGGGGTATCCAGGGTGATAGAAAGTTTAGGTACTTGACCTCCCCGAAAGCCTGCTGACCTGGATCTAATCTGAGGTGGAGCACAGCAGCGATTTAATGACTTGTTCCCCCACACCTCTGCTGGAGGGGGAATTAAGGAGCTCCCTGTGCAGCTGCCGGGGGGGCTGGAGCATCCCGTGGGATGTTCCCTGCTCCGGGACTCCATCCCAGAGAGCCCGTGGGCCCCCATTCCCTCCGTGCCCACGTTCCACACACCTGCCAGCTGGGGAGGAACATGCCAGCCAAATGTAAGGGAATTATTTGGAGAAGCTACAGAAAACCTTAAAATATTGATCCTGATGGATCCCTTCCAGTTCTGACTCTGTGATTCTCTAATAGTTCTGCTATCAGCCCTCCATCCAGCTCCCCAGATGGCTGGGTTACTGTTTTGCAGTTGAGAGTTTGGGCCATTATTCTTCATAAAATACTATTAATAATTTACTGTTGTTGTTATTGTTGTTGTTTTGTTGTTGCTGTTATTGCATTGTTATTGAGAACATATTATTATTGATAAATATCTGTTCTAATGATACATAACTATTGTATTTATATACATATATAACATTTATATATGTAGGTAATAAATAAAATTGGTAATGTTATTGTTATCTTCATCATTGTTATAATCATCATCATCACAACAACAGCAATCATCCTTATTATCTTGTAACATTCTTAGTTGTGCCTCAACTCACTTTTGTTTCTCTTCTGCTTTTCCTTAGCAAATACTGACTGATCCCGAGGTGACCTCCCAAGAGGGCAGTATAAAAAAGGTAGGATGTGGCTCAATCTTACAGGAGTTGTTTTATTCCCTGGCTCTGAAATAGGCCTGGACCTTTTTTCTGCCATTTGTCCCAAGGTGTGTCTGTCGCAATAACGTCGTAAAAGTTTTCCAGCATTTGCTGTTGCTGTTTTGGATTAAGTGTTGTGGTTCTGCTGGCATATTCTGCTGTCTTTTTGTGATTCCAGTAATTATGAAAGAGAAAATAATAGTTTGAGGTGTTCCTTGACTCTGCTACAACATAAACAGCTGCTGGTCCAAATCGAAAAACCTCATTTACTTCTTTTCCAGTAAAAGAAAATGTTGGTCCTTTGTTAAAAGTGCTAAATTTTTGGAGGTCACTTCACCGTGTAAATGTGGGTTATGTGAAGTCCAAGGGAAAAGGGATAGATATGTGAGAGGGTAAAATTTAACTCATGTGATGTATTACTGGTGCTTTTCATCACATTGTGGTGCTTAAACTCTAACACTGACCAGAGAAAATGTGTTCCACAGTCAGCCCAGCTGTATAAATGTCTTCACTGTAGCTCTGAGGCAGCCTCAGCATGACATATTTCAGCAGCCAGGCTACTATTCTGGTTGGGGTTATTCTCAGAAGCACTAAAATGAGATTTCTTTTCCCCCATGTCTATCTGTTGGTTAATGGCTTCACTAATTAAAGTTTTACAAGTTATGTTTGATTAGAGCCTCTTGAATGCTGGAGCTGGTGTGTCCTCATTTAAATGAGGAGCTGTTTGTGATTCCTTTCATGTGCAGTTGTCTTGTGAAGGATGTTCACAGTCCTGTTTGTAAAGTTTTTGGAAGTGGGGAAATATTTGAGATTGGAAGTGGCCGCAGCTGCCACTGCTGTTGATGGAGCGTCAGTGCTGCTTCTTGACTCTGGAAGCCGAAAGCAAACTCTTGTTTCACTCTGCCAAACAAAGTGAAATGTAATACTTGTCAGGCTCCAGAGTTAGGTTGGGAAAAGGTATTCAGATGCATGTCCACTGTGGACTGTTCTATTCTTACCATGTAAAAAAAAAAAAGCAGGTTTTATTTTCGCCAGCCGGGCTCCCAATAGGGAACATCCTCTGACCACGCAGTGACCTCACCAGGGACCTGTGGCAATAGTGCTGAACTTTTTACCTTGGGCATCTCCATAACTCATGGGGTGTCTGTCTCTGCCTCTGTGGGATCCTTTTGTCTGGACAGACGTGGTGACAAGGTGGCAGGTTCTTATTATGGAACGCACTTCTCACGAGGATGGAGTGAATGCTCAGCTGGTTCTTATGCAGCCTTTAATTCCAGTATCACAAATGAATTCCCCATCCCCACCTCCAGAATCTGCTCTAAATAGAGCAGGAGTTGTGTGAAATGGGGTAGAAGGAAACATGAGACTGGCACCTTTATATGTTCAACCCTTGGGTTTGTATTTAAACTTCATTCCTTTTATTTCAAGGGAGATTGCTGCAAAAAGTACAGGGCTTTGTAAAATGCCATGTCCCTAAATATTTTCCTGTACTGCAGGTATAAAACTGGACATTGATGATATTTGACAAGGGGGGAAGGACTGGCCTTCCACTTGTGTCTTTTGAATGCATTGTAGAGAAGCACTAGTGGGTTTATGAGGTGATAAATTTATTGAAGGATGGGCAGTAGGGTTTTACAGCTGGGGTAAAGGAGGTCAGAGCAGTAAGGTAAAGAGTTCAAGTCTAAACTTTATGGCTTGTGAAAAGACTACTGTGAGACAGCTTTTCACTCAGAAGAAAATGAAAAATAAAGAATGAGAAATCACTCTGGGCATTTTTTGTAGTGTCTTAAAATTGTTTGGAAGTGGCACTCTGGCATTTGGCTCCGGGGGTACAAAACCCTCCTGGGAGCAGATTCCCTTTCCCAGCCTCTCTAAATCATTCAGTTGTCGTATCCCTGAAGACACAATAGTTGAGATTTGACTTCAATTTATTCCTGTTCCTTCAGAGATAAGTTGGTGGCGAGAAGGTGACTGAAGACAAATGTAACTGTAGTGGGTGGCCTGATTTAAACTGGAGCAGAGGAAATTGGAGCTGGAGAGACCATCCTTTCAGTGGCTCCTTTGACTGCTGCATCACAGGTTCAGAATCAGGCACTAACAAGGACTAGAAAGAGAAACAAAAATCTGGAATGCAGAGGAAAAAAATCTGTAAAACCTGGAAAAGGCAGGGAAGGGAAGGGGATGGCAGTGAGAGGTGTAGGAAGATGTGCAGGAAGGAATCTCTGCTTAAAAACTGATGCAGAATTATCTCTGCTGTTAAGCTGCTGGGGGGGAAAAAAAAATCTCTTTTACATAACTATTCATGAACTGAAAGGCAGTGAGAAGTCTGAAGATGTAGAATAGCAGAGATTGTTGTATGGCTCATTTTTGACTTGGAACAAAAATAAGTATTTTCCCACTATATCTGGTATTTTTCAGTTTGTATTCCTGTTATTTTTGCTGGGACCACTAACACCACAAACCTGATTTCTTTGTTAGTGGTTGTCTGACAGGAACTAAGATTTCAGTATTATTAAAGGACCCAGATCCAGGTTCATTTTCTGTATCTGTGCTGTACCCCTGACAAGTTCTCTCCTTGTGTCATCTTTGCTTGCTGATATTTAGTTTAACTTGGACAAATACACACGAGCTCCTCATCCTGATAGTTTTAAATAATCAATTGTGAAACCAATACAAAAATAGGAAATTCACTTATTTCGTTGGCCTGAATGCAGACACTCGGAGCTGTGCAGGAAGCAGAGTTAGACCTGTGGGTGTGTTGTCCCCTGGTCCCAAATGCCTTTTTCCCAAACCCATGTCCCTGCAGTCTGTTTATTTTGCTTAGAGAGCAGCTCCTGTGTTCCCTCCCTCTGAATTTCCTAAGCTTCTCCACTGCATTTAATAAATTGAAACAACAGCTTGTTGTCATTGCTTTCATCATCATCATCATTGTCATTCTGGTTTTAACTTTGAGCTGAAGGATTTCGACTTCCTCTGGCAGGAAGCAAGGCCAGTGCCCCTTCCACATCCCATCTTTTGCAGTAGGAGTATTTCTCTCTCCTCCAAGAGTCACTTTGGCTGATGGTTCGAGAAGGCTGTGGAAGGAGCTGTGTGTGTGCACAGAGCTCCCAGCCAGGCTCCTCTGGACAGGCTGTTTTTCTGACCGTGGTGACAAGGGACCTCAGGGACTTCTCTCTTCAGTAGACTCTCTATTTAGTTTCTGTTTACTTAGAGGGAATAGCCTGAGGGGCTACTGGAGAGAAAACATCTGTGGGAGATAATCTATAGAGTTATCTATCTATCACTCTTGTCGACCCTGTCTCCCTTGAGAGCAAGCTGAGAGACTTGTAATAAAAAGGCATTGCTGAAGAGGCTTTAGGGACAAATAAAGAGACATGTTAAGGGCCAGCTGAAAAAGGATAGAAGACATTATTAAAGCTCAATAGCCATCTTATCAAAATCCAATAGGATAGGCATTTGGCAAAAGGCTTTAAATTTATTCTTTGACTTTCTGGAGAGCTTGAATTTATCCATTAACAAGAATGTGCTGCACAGGGAGTGGGAGATGCTATCGGCTTCAAAAGGGTTGGATTCAATCTGGTATTGTGCAAAACACAACAAAAACTGAAGACAAAACCAATTTTCCCCCCTACCTCGGCTGGCTTCATTCCTACATCGCAAAATGCTGGAAGCTGGGAGTATAGGGCTGATGAGGCTGTAAAGTAAAAGTAATTTATGCGGCACATTTATTCTGGACTCACAAATCACACGGATCTTTTTAAAAACAAAGTTACTGTTAGAAAACTGGGTGGGATGAGAAATTTTGGCCTCTTGGAAAGCACCAAGTAGTAAACAAAACAAAACAACAAAAAAACAACTCAGGTATGTGGAAAGCTTTTTAGTCCTAAAACAAAAGTAAAAGCCAGCGACTGTTTTGCTGCTGCAGATGCGAAGCGGGATGGGGCCATAAATCTCCCCGGGTTTCTTATTATATCCAAAACGCTACAGGTCACAGGAACCATCTGATACTTCAGGAACACATTGTTCGCGCGAGATGATTGATTGATAATTATGATAATTTGCCAAATGATTATTTGGGTATTATGAGCGCGGCTTGCCCCGCCGGATCGCTGTGAAGACATTTTCTATATCACGGGCCGTCAGAAATGGCCCCTGGCAAGGAGGGATGTGGAAAGGTCTGGCCGGGCTCTCCCGGCGGGATCTGTAGGACTGATGAATGATGACCCAGAGGAGTAAGAAATCAGGCTTCAATAAGCAGTCAGGAAGGTAGTTAGGGAAGAGCAAGGGAACTGTTAACTGTCTTTTGTGCAGCAATTACTGGCCAGGCCAGACCCCCTCAGGCCTGAGCTCCGGCTGTCAGCACGTTGTACACCCGCAGAGAGATCAAATTTGAGATTTTTAGCTTGGGCTCTGCAAAGTTCCTGGGTCTGCGGCACAAAGTGCACGTGCATTTCTGCAGCTAGCCTGGATTAGGAATATATTTATTATCCCTGCCTCGTCAAAGGGGTTTCCATATCTGTTAGTGAAGATTTTAAGCCCCGAATTTCAGTGGTATTTCTTCACCTTTCTGTGTGTTGAAGAATCAACCCCCCCAGTTTTGAAATGATTTTCATCCTCAGTGAGAACGTAGCAGAGCTGGGGGTTAATGATGCCCCACCACCCCATGTGATGGTGAACAACCCCCGTTAGTGGAGTTAAAGCCCCGTTTCGCCGTGGTCGCTGCCTCACAACTCCTATTTCAGAAAGAGCTTTCATTTGCTTGTTTTATAGGTTGTATCTTTATGAAATAAAGGTATATTTAGCAGCCACAAACAGAGGCAGCTTTGAGTTGATTTTTATAATCTTTTCCTGAATAGACTTGCGTCATTCCAATAAGCCCCGGACAAAAGAGTGGACAGTTGTCTGAGAGTCTTTTTTATAACATTTCTCTCTTTCTATTGTTAGAGAGCTGCTAATAAAAGAACCAGGAGTCCATTAATTCA